ATAATGAATTTGTCACTTTATACACGATACAAACTAATTAATTAAAGACAAATAAAGACAGATACAAATCGTGACAGGGGAAAGGAACAGGACTCTCGTCCCAATTGACACCTAACCCCTATATACATGACCTTGTCGTTAGAGCTCGACAACTGGCCTCTGTAGCTCAGTTGGTTAGAGCTCGACAACTGGCCTCTGTAGCTCAGTTGGTTAGAGCTCGACAACTGGCCTCTGTAGCTCAGTTGGTTAGAGGCGCTGCACCGACATCGCAGGGCCGCAAGTTCGATTCCTGCCAGGGACCTGAAGGCTAAAGTTGCATTTTTTTGCTTCTGTTCCTGGTTACGTCTAATTAATGTATATAAATTTCCACTCCATAATTTCCAGCTACAACACCCTTCACGGCTATTATTCAATGATGCCAACAAAATCTTGATATTTACATTTAACATAACACTTCTATCAACGTCGATGAAAATCGTTTCGATTCTTGTACTTGATTAAAAGAAAAGCGACGATACACTGCTTCAGTGATATCAGCTGTACTAGTTTTTTATCGTTTCAAAACATGATTTGATAATTTTTTCCACCATGTTACGATTAAACACACTGTTTATTGTTGCATAAAGCCGAAAAATTCAAATCTTCGTGATAGAACTTTATATAAACTTTAGAAAGGAAACGCGCCCTTCTAGAAACTATTCGTGATGTCTTATTGATTTCCTACGCACCAGACACCTTTTATTTTAAACTCTCACGAAATCAACATTTTGCGCGCCTCACTTACCGAATGCGTGGGTGTATAGGTGAATATTTGGCAGAAAATCGGAGGTACATTTTTACAAACACATATTCTGGGCTTGAGCGGAAATTCCTTGAAAAGAGTTTAAGTGAATTAGGTGTTTGTCTCAAGAACATGCGCGCTTTGCGTTCAATTGACCAAAAACAACACGAGGACGCAAAATATTCCAAATAACGGAAACTCATTATTACTCAGCGAAGCGTGCGCAAAATTAAGGTCGCGCAAATCGAATCATCTGTCTAAAACCGCCAAGGAAAACAAGCGCATTTTATTCAAAAAAATAACAATGATTGTCTAAATAGATGAATCGTCGTTAATCCTTTCCTTTCAATCCCTTAAAGGAAATAACTTCTTGGCTCAATAACTTTAATCTAGTCAACAGGAGAGAATTACTGTGAAACGCTTTAATATCATACCATAGAGCTGTTTATGTTTGACTGATGAAGCCTGCTTTCATTTATGAATTGTATTGGATTATATTGTATTGTGTTGTACTGATATGTCGTAGATCTGTAGATCAACTCGTTACTTTGACTCAATCCTGAAATTTAAGGCTCGTTGTCATAGAACGTGCTAGCTTGTGTTCTTGATGCGAGTATACAGTACTTAATGTTAATCGTTCCAATAGTTAATCAAAATCGGCCATTTGCATTCCAATGGCAATGTAATCATTATTTATGACCAGGTTACAAAAATTGTCTCGTTGGTTTGGTGTTTTGAATACGATTTTAAAATTATCTATTGTAGGCATTTTAAACTACTGGTCACTTTTGTTGCACCCGGCTCTCCAAATGCATACATGCAGGACATCAGTTTCATGGTTAATTTTTCGGGAATTATTTGTAGCTGAATGTTTTTCCTTCGTGAAATCAACTCATGTACTCGCCAAAATGTGAATTAATTAGGCGCTCCCCATATTTTTATAGTGCCGGATTGCATAATAATAACTTGGAAAGTTCTGTGCAACTGTAGTGTTGAATTTCGTTAATTTCTAACGATAACGATTTCTGTAATTTCTACAATTTTTATCCTATACATTGCTCATTAGACACTTTATGTGGTTCTAACATGAATGAATGCTATGATAAGTATATTAAGTATAAACCTATAATAAAAAAATTGACCCAAAAATGCTGAGGAACTTGCGGCAACACAAAGCTGGAATAAGTTCGCATATATGCCCAATATTTTTAAACCTGTCAGCTACAGCTCTGAGGAAAGAAGAAAAGCCCACAAAAACTATTTGTCCTTGATGCTCACGGCTGTGTTTTTGCGATAACATCTGCGACAGAGGTGAATGCTTATGAGATTTACGCAAGGATCATACTAATCCTGCTAATCAGTAAAACCCTTACTTAGCCGCCACAAAGAAGTGAGAAATTTGGGTGTGCTGAGATCAAAATAGATTCGCTAGAGGTTGCGCGGCACAAGACAGCTTATTAGTTCATTAGCACCTTTTTCAAAACTTTTTCAATGCCTTTGGCGATTAATCGGAAAAAAAGACAAAAGGATGCTTTTTACTTTCACGATGCGTCGCAACAGCCAACACTGTACAACGTGTTAAGCTATTGCTTTTCATGCGATTGTCATACTTAGACAAAGTACAAAAGTATACAAAGTACAAAATCATAGTAATGTAAACAGTTTTTGGATCATCAAAGACTAATAAGAAAAAGGATTGAAAGTTGGAAGGCATAACATATAAGGAATATTATACCAACATACTCGTAGTAAAAACCCAACACACATTGTCAACATAAGTCAGGCCTGATCAACTTCAACCATATTGTAAGGATTCTGATGTATCAGTGATCGAGTATCAGCTTTGATAGTGATACTCTCAGTTATACTTAATATATATATATGCCTGTGCTTGCGTCGTCGTGAGCCGGACAATATATAAAAATCAATACCTTTGATCCCTCTTATGGCTTGTGCATGCTTATGCTTTATAGATGTGCATATATATGGTACTGAGGGCCAGGCTTAAAGTATTAAACCGAATCAGATGGACATTAAAATCTTAAGTCAAATTAAACCCAAAAAAATAGTGCAATGGTGAAAAACCATACAATGATGTCAGGTGTAGATAGATATATATATATATATTCTGTTCTATTATAAATTATTATACTTTATTGCATTCACTTTATTTATTAAGTGTTCTTCCTATACAAATTTTGGTTGCCAGTAAATTGACGTAGGTGTGAATTAAGACCATAAGGGCCAATAGTCATTGAAAGCTACAGGAAAGAGTTCATAATAGTATGATGGCATACTCATTAACCACTGTTTGCGCTATTTAGTCCCCCGTGAAGTTCACTGGTATTGTAGTATTAGCCGCATTATTTGCATTAACACATCCTTGCTAGCACGCTATACCAAACAGATACAAAGACTTGTATAATTGTATAAATCCTAGCTATATTTCATCTTTCAATACTACTTTCAAACTGATCTGTGCGCGCACTTGATGTTAATACCCAACACAAATACAAACTATGAAGTGTTACTAGGACAGCAAAACCAATGTATATAAACAAAAACGACACCGCTTGTCGTGAACCTCCATGCACTGAAATAGATATAAGAAATTAAGCGCATTAATTACGCACGCCCAAGAACTAATTAACATAGATTGCGCATAGTTTGTACACGAATTCAAATAAGTAAAGATTTCGAAAAGAAATCGGCTTTTGCGCTATTAGGAAACTGTGGAATGAGCATCGGTAACGCTAAGACAAGATTCAAGCTCCAAGGCTTGTTAGCTGATAACAAAGTTTACACTATTTGGTCGAAACATTTGTGGCAAGGTGTTTATTTCGTGTGCACGCCCACCAAATTCGGTCTAAGTTATTTGTCATGACTGCTTTCGTCGCCATTAAGGCTATGCTATTGATCAGAAATTCCTAACACGCCCTTCTGTTATGCCTTGTTTACTTCTATTCCACCAATAGTATTCAATCAGAAATTTTTTTGGATCTCCAATTGAATATCCACTCCAGGCTATTACGTGGTAGGAATCAATGTACTTGACACCTTGCTTATAGTGAAATATTTAACCTCTTCGTGCCAAGTTTGCCAGACAAGTTATGATAATTGGGGAGCAACTATACAGTGGTACGCCCCTGTAAATATATATTTGGGAGATTGGGTGATAGAATTCAATTTAACCTGTAAATGCAAACCAATCCCGCTTTTTACACTTTTGGCAGCATAGCCATAAGAGTAATGTATATTATAGTGGTTCTGAGTGCGTGGGTTTTAATTGTGTCTTTCTGTGCATCGATCCAAATTTAAACTAAACAAGAAATCATTGTCAAACATTTGAAAACAAGAAATCATTGTCAAGCTCAAGAATGTGAATCTAATCTTTATGCAATATTAGTTGATATGTGCTGCATGCAATCACTTAAAATTTTAATTTGTGTCTGAAGATGAAAATATATTTTAGTAATTTTACATTGTGAAACGCCAAGGGCAAAGTAACTGCATGGACAGCCAACATCAGACTGCAAAAATAGTAACCATGAGTCATGACTGATTTGACAAGTCATTAGAATACTTCACGTTATAGTACATAGTGTACAACTGTAGCAAATATAGACAATACAAGCTTTCGTTGGGGGATGCAACTACCCGAAAAAATAAGGAGAATTTCGACGTTTCGAGCGAAGGCCCTTCGTCTGGAGTAATTAGTGGGCCTTCCGGTCGAAATTCTCCTTGACCTTGTACCAACGAAAACTTGTTATTAATGGCACTACCTACACTGGCACAGACAGTTCAAGATAATTATAGACAATACAGCCTATTTGCGTGCATGAAATGAACAATTTTGTGTACAGCTTTGTATTTTTGTTTACCGAAGTATGGTACATCAGTTTATATGCGTTAATCACAGCGAAGGTGTTAGACCAATGTGGCAAAAATCGACCTCCAGTGTTAGTTTTATGATGGTCTGCCAAATGGCCATGAGATCATCTCACCTCGCTCGGATGGCTGTTTGTCTTGTCGGGAAATTTCGTGCCTGTTCACGCCAGTCCAAGTACCTGAGTGTGTTTGGATAGCGATAGCGAACTGCATGAGATTTGTGGAGTTGATATTATAGGAGATACATTTACCAATGTGCCAGAGTTACTTCTATTAATATCTAATTATAAACCTAAACTAGGACAGTATTTCGTGCAACTTGAAACACAATTCATAACACACGACAGCATTGTGGCATGCAAACTAAAGTAGTTTAATTGCTTTCACTCTGCACTTAAGACCGTTTTCCCCTTCAACCGTTTTCCACTTCAACCGTTTTCCACTTCAATCGTAACGTATCGTAGCATTTTCTTTTGTGTCGAAGTCAGTAGTTTCACTCTAGTGCTCAGAAAACAAAGAAATACGCTACGCTTCCGTGCGGTACAGTTAATTAGTTGTAAACGGCCTTTGCGCTGAAGAAATAAACGACTGTACGTAGCAAAAATTCTGGGCAGAATTTTATTAAAAAGAGCCCGAACATGCAACCGCATATTTCTCAGTTCTGGAGATGTTGGAAAAAGCAACGAAACTTATGCTAAATAAATTTCATATAAAACAAAATTGTTTAATAATAATATATATAGTCTCTTTTTTTAAATAATTGTCTGGGCTATAATATTTTGAACATGACTGCGCATGAGTACAAGAGTGATAGGTTATCTTCTATGGTATTTTTAAAAAACATCCCTGCCTGCTTAGTACGCCTTTCAAACATCTCACCCTTTTTTACATAACAAGACAATCATTTGACATACCCGATATTCAATAATGCGTCATGGTTGTAGTAAAGATGGCGTGGTATTCAATTTGTTGCAAGATATGTATCGGACGTATAATCTTTGATAAACACTTTCAAATGATCTGTTTGATAATCGAATGTATATACAGGCACTCCCTCGTCAACTAATGGCCTGTGCGATGCATAAATAGTTTAATGTAACTTCGTTAATTATCTCGATTAGTACAGAGTAAAATTAATATCAATTTTTTCACTGTGATCACTAAAACTCGCAAAAGGTGTAGACTTGCTGCAAGACTGATTTTCAGAGGGGTATTTGGGAGTTTTAAAGGGCATGTCTTTTTGTGCACCCTTTATAAATCCCGAATAAAAATCCCTTATACTATATAGAGGTATAGACTTGGAGCTAGAAAGTCCGGCCAAAGCTAAATGCATCCTGAATTAGATGACTCACTATAATCAAGCGTTTGTAGTGCGGTTGTCTGATATACAGCAGAGCGTTTGGCTTGCTATGAAACACCATTTACTCTTAATTAAAGTGAACTGATATGTCCTTATTCATAAACATAGATAAGGATTAGTTTAAAAAGTAGCAGCTCAGTCTTAATTTAAGCAAGAACGGAAACGTTTTCGTTGTTGACAAACGGTTTCGAAGGGCATATTCTATTCAATCTATTGCATTAGTAAATACTTTTAAAATCTGTAATTAATTCTAATACGTGCAATTATCCCCCATATCGTTCAATTAGAAGTTTAGAACTGTTGGACTGGGTCAACCGATATTTGCCAGAACACATGGTATGCGATATGTAACATCTATAACCTTCATTCAAACAAAATGGCACGCATCTTTCCCTTTCATTTTTATTACAATATATATATAACAACATTAATATGATATTAACAAATGACAAGTGTATAAATTAAAGTTCGTATGAACCATTGCGTTCGAGTTTGAAATATTTACAAGTAATGTTCACGCGTTCTACGTAGCACCGAGACCAGCTCGGTTTCTCCTAGACTTGCCACAAGTCCGCCTCAGAATTTTTCCCGTAGCTTTTTACGACTTTGCAAAAGTCTAAGTTTCTTCACATTTTCTAATCTATATACGTATGAATATGTTATCTAACTAAACTCATGTTGAATGAGAGCGGGACAGTTAAGTCAAAGGCAAAGCGGGCCATAGTCATAGACGTGGGACTCGATAGTTCTCAGACTCCGAGTGAAATTCAGTGTTCTGATTTCATAAACATCCTATAGTATGATTGAGCTGATACTGAAGCCTGAAGGATGACTGACTTTTTTTGACTTAATCCCATTCTCATGCAAACGAGTGCTATACAAAACAGGCCTACAGCCAGGACCTTCACATAGATCATGTTCTAAATGATTGCTGAGCTACAGTCTAAGTCGTATTTTATGTATCTGTTTAAGCTATGCTTCTATAGTTTGTTATTGGTACTGTACAAATGCGACTGGTACTTCTCGAACTTATGTACTCTTATTATATACATATAGATTATAGCTATATGAACCGAAACCAACAGGACGTTTCAATTGTGTTTGGAAAGATGAACCAGTATAGAGCCATCATAGATGATCAATTATCCGATCATGAATTACACTGAACTGGTAATTTTGAGATTCGGAAAATTGGCAAAGCTGTCGTGTTCTATATCATATATAAGCCTGCCTTTAGGTTTAGGTTTAGGTTTAGGCTTAGGTTTACTTTTTAAATACATGTATAGTTCTTGGGCATTGAAATACCAGCCGTGAAGTACAACTTAAACTATGCAAATATACGACTTAAAACAAGAGCTGAGAGCTGTACAATTTTACCTTGGCAGTAGGTGATTAGAGCTGTACAATTTTACCTTGGCAGTAGGTGATTAGGACCATCCTACTGTCCAAGCGGGCAAGACCAAGTTTGGTCATGTTTGCATGTTGTAGCAGTAATTAATACATTTCAATTCTTCCGTTTCTCCTCGTCTTTTTCGTCTTGAACATCTCGTTTCTTTTCGGCTGCTTCATCTTCTTCCGTGGATTTTCCTTCTTGCTTCAGTCGCCGCCATTTCGCTCTCCTGTTCTGGAACCAAGTTTTGATTTGTCGTTCCGACAGTTGCAACATCTTCGCGAGTTGTTTTCTTTCCGGTGGTGATAAATACTTCTGTTTCTCGAAGGTCTTTTCAAGTTCAACTGTTTGTTCGTTCGAGAAGCGCACTTGACCGCCCTTCTTTCGTTGGTGTTTGTCCAGAAACGAGTTCCACAGCCCTATACAATGTTAGAGAAATGATTGCTGATTAAATTATAAATACCATTCCATTGCTATAGCTTAGTTTAAAATTAAGGTAATTCTCTTCAAATGATCTTCAACGGTAGATTGTCTGTCGCTATATAAAATCTATGCCAAAATACGAAAAACGACATGTCGATCAAAGGCTCGCTGTTGTGAATATAAAGAGTCTACTATTCCCGCGCAAAGTACAGAGCAGAGCTCCGAAGTACAATCTGTAGCTTGATTTCACTGCTAAAAACATTAAAATCTGAAAGTCTGCACTAAAAATTGCCACTCTTGAATTTGCGAAGGATTTGCGCATTCTTCATGTTAAACGCCACGTATAGTATAGTAAGCTGCAAATCTTTACATACTGGCCATTGTGTGTATAAAACATACATGTATTTGCGCATTATTCTCTCGCATCAATCACATTATTCTAGAAAAATGACAGCTGTGAGCTGTTAACAAAGCCAAACCCAAAGAAATCTTTTAATTAGGAGACTGGTTATAAAGACCCTAACCAAGAAATTATATTGCTGTAAAACCACCGCATTTTGCAAAAGACAAATACCAAAAAGATGGTATTAAAACGTTGGAAATTGTATACATTTACAAAATATTGTACACTAAAAATATTTTCAATGAAGTGACAATAGATAAGTATTAAAATGGCGCACAACATACAACTGACAAAATCTTTGAAGAGTTGTTGGTACATGATAGTACACATATATAGCCTGGTATAAAACTACGATCTGTGCCAGTGTGAGTAGCGAGTCGGAAGGGCCATGAAGTCCCTTCATCGGGAGGTTAGTACACGGGAAAGGTCTTATATTTTTCAGGTAGTTGTATCTTTCCGATTCGCAGTTTTCTAGTTATAAAACTAGCATAGACATAATGAAATTTTGCCACTGTCTTTTTATCTCTTTGATAGACTATTTCACTATTTCAATTTTGATTCTCATTGCGATTTGCGAACTTGTGTATAGATGATGCAACTACATGAAAAATATAAAACCGAGCTTCAACGTTTCGCACGAATGCCCTTCCCGCTCGAAACGTCGTAGTTCTGGCTTCTGCTTATATTTTTCAGATATAGTTGCGTCATCCACACAAGTTCGAATTTTATGCAGTATTCGTCGCTACCTACAGTACACTGGTACTGAACGTTGTTTATTCTTATATCTACAGAGTGAAAGACCTGTCCGTGTTCAAAACCAAAGCTAACAATGCATACGCGCAAACATGAAACAACTTGCTTCAGTTGAAAGACTTGAAAGACTTGAAGAATGAAGTTGGACTTGGTTTGACTTATAAAAAACAGCATTTCAAGTCACACCTTTGAATTCTCGACGTGAAGCTATCAGTTGGTACACCTGATCTAGTTGATCTACCAGTCTTTATGTTTTTGCTTTCTCCGGTATAACTACATTGTATATTCAGCGGAATGAATCAGTAAAATTAGCCCTTGAGATTCTCTGACGTGACGTTGTCAAGAACTGAAATCCCATAACATTTCTCTTTAATCTCAGGAAAACCCGCGTTTCCCTTTTCGTAAATTTAAACCGTTTCAGTCAGTGTAAACCGTTTAAAACACTTGAAGGTGATTTGTACCATTGTATAGACTGCGCGTAATTTATGTTCGATATGCGCTAACTTCCTATCATTGTATAGTCATCAAGCAATAGACACGTTTTATATAGCATTTCGTTGAATGATAATTATGAGTGCGCGAAATCGGAAACCATGGGAAAAACCAGCTTATACTACGATATATGAAGGAATTACTCATAGATTGCGTAAACTTTAATACATTAAGCATCAATGATTTGACTGGTTTGTACTACGGAAATTTGCCTTATTGTGTTGCCCCCGTATAATTTCAACAGAGAGCTATAGGAAATGGGTGCCATACAGGAAAACTATTCTGAATTCTCAACTTTCCGGCCACAGATTGCAACTGGAGACTGTTAGTACACAATAATATCATGCTTCACAACACTGCTATACTAATATTATCCCATGCAATGTTTAATCCTAAATTCTAATAAGTTTCATGTAGAATCTACCGTACTAGCAGTATAGTTTCTGAGATGTAGAATCATTCAGGAAGCAACTTGATTGAGGTGTATATAGATAAATTCTGAAAACATTAATTAACATTTTAAAAATCTAGTGGTATCCAACTCCAACTGATAAGAATGTGTTTTAAAGTTAAACCTTATGCATTGAAATGGCCTCCTGAATACAAACCTCTCAACAAACATGGGTAACTAACAAGCAGCAGATACCACGACAATGGCATCCAACTTGATTCAAACAGTCGTACAAACATCTTTGATATTTGTGGAGCTCTGTCTTTGTAATTAGCGATATCAACATTCTAGGTAACTGTAGACTTATATGGGCAATTTCGCAGGCTGGCACAAGCCAGCTTTAGCCACAAATCGCTTTATAAATAAATAGGTGAGAAAGAATGAGTAATGCTCACCTAATACTTTGGTGCTGAAAATTAAGTGCATCTTATATGTCTGCCACAATTGGCTTTACCGGAGAGGAAACACTGCAGAGCTATTGTAAATTTTAACTTTATGAAGTAGTCGAGAGTAGTATTGTTCAAATACAGTACACCTAGTTGTACTGTGCATCTATACTTCAGCTTCCAGCTAAGGCTACACAACACTTACTGCGGGTTGTAGAACATCAGAACTTTGCGCTTTTGTATTAAGCGCAATAACATGTCTGTGGTTAGCTTAATCCGAAAGTTTACCGCGTCTACATCAATCTGCAATGCGGTAGTTTTCTCAGTGTACAAAACTTAACACCACTGCGGTACAAAAGGCGTGAATATCATTATAGATACAAACGGAATGCGCGCGGCATCGTACGGGTGCGAAAACACGAGGGCGAAAGAATCAACACGTTCTAATTGCATTGCGAGCGCATGAGGAAAAGATTAAACGTTTACTCACACTGTTTTATAAACAAAAGACGGATCGTGTTTAACACCAATCAAATCGAATTATGATTAAACACTATAAACATTTAAACAAACAGGCCATCTAGTAAAGGGCACGTAGTCATAAAGAACGCAAAATCGTCAATCAAGCTCGCTCTATTGGGTTGTTGTTTTAATATTATCAAAGAAACAGCCAATTCAGAGAGACCATTAAAGCATAGTATAGTATTCTATAATCCTTATGACACTCAAACGATCTTCTAGAATTACGTATAAAATATAGATATCTGAAAACCAAAAGCATATGCTTTACCAAATGGTAGCGCATGTGAAGAGTATTCGCAAATCCGCACAGAGATTACTGTAATATTTGAACTGAAAGCCTGGTTTTATACCAAGGATTAAAATTACCTAGATACCTAATTGTCTTCCTGTTTCTAAGATACATTTTAGATACAAAAGCTTTATGTGCGCGCTTACAAAAAGCCAAATTTGAATTAGAAAGCAAGAATGGAACAGAATCGAATGCGTAATTTTGTGGAAAGTCAATTTTGCGACCATCGGCAACAAGCCCACTACTGCCTTACCGTTTAAATCCCATTGCTTTCGATTTCATTGTATGAATGGATCAATTTTATGCAATCAAACTGCATGAACGAAGCTACATTTATGAATGATACAAGAGATAAAATGCGTAGTGTTCAATGCTTACCCATTGGATCCTGAAAAGCATCATAAATGCTGGGAATGATGGGAGCTTGAATGTTGTAGCCCATTGCGGGCATCGCATAGGGATGATGTCTTTGGTAGGCCATGAAAGGATTACCATAGGTCCTCGGTGGAAAGACCATCGGATAAGATGGTGTTCTGTAACTATCGTGAATCCTCGGTTGTTCCATGTTGTATTGTTGTACTGGCGCGACAGGACTACGTTGCGCTGCAGTCACTGTTGGTTTTCCCAGAATGTTATCAATACAGAACGATGTCGACGGGTGTTGCTGCACATAGTTGCTCGAACTGAGCCCTGTGTCACTTCTCCACTCGCACGGTTGCATGTTTAGGAACTTTAAAGTTCAATGTTTTCACTTCGAGTGTGGTGTATGCAATGAAGTCTTCTCTTCCGGAGAGCCACTTTAAATGAGACTCGATACGAACACATTGGCGTCTATTTTTTAACAGGACATGAGAGGGGGCCGAGAGTTCGGCGTGTGACATAAACCAGACCTCGCATTCTTTTGTAGGGAAATTTACAGCCTAATCACTTGGCTCGACTTAGACCAATGAGCGCGCACGCCTGTAAGGAAATGCCAGCCACAGCTGGTGATAAACGCCCTATTATTTATCTCTGGCAGCATATCGATATCCCGGCGCGCAGCTTGTGTTCTTAATTGCTACGTATTGCATGTTAAATGTACATACAATGTCATCGCAGCATACAACATATGAACGTGTTGATAACGCGCGAAGATTATCAAGCTTGCGTCAAATACAATATTGCGCGCTCCGATCAAATATTCACAGGTTGTGTGCAAAATACTTTAAATAAATAGCAACCGAAACAACGTCGATCAATAACAAAACGACGCAAATACCAAGCAGATAGCGACAATGTATTGCCTCACATCTGCATAATGATACTCAGATTACTAGATTGTGGTGAAATGATGACACACGAATACCTATACGATACAACAGCATTGCAATGGTTGAGTCAAATGTTTATTGTAAATTGTACTGCTTTTCTATTGTGCGCAAATGTTTAACCTCGGTTGCGGCCTCAGCCTCAGTTTCATGAAAGTCAACAGTTTAACTGCACAAATCGAGCTAAGTACATAGCTTTAATGCTCTTCACCTTGCGTTTCGAAGTTTGCCTAATGACAATTTAATGGTAATACACGAAGGCGGTATAATGCGCAGCAATTGAGACAAATGCTATTACATTATGCGCGACCGCTTCATCTGGGCGGCGAATTGAGGTTAGACAATATTAATAACGTCAACGGCGTGTGAATATCGAGCAAAACACGGACATTTTTAAGCCTGACGCCTGGCGTTTCTCCGTTGCTTAATGTTGGCTAAACGGCATGACAAATTGCATTGACATTTTGATATGATAATTTACACCGTGATAAGGGCGCGGTTTCAGGGGGGCGTGGGCACGCATGCCTTGACGAATCAAGAACATCTGTGATCAGAGCCTTGCAATCAATTAAAGTTAATTAATTGGGTAGTGAGTGGATAGGTTAGCGATGAAATTTCTGCTAATCGTGTCCCGCGTGCTACATGTGTGTCGCAAAACTGTACTTCAAAACACGAGCACGACTAGAAAGCTCTCAAGATTTCGGCGTTTCTTTTCGCCGACAAACGCTGACGTCTGTGGAAAAACATGGGTCCTAAATCTGGACTTATTGACTGGCGAAATTAGAAATCATTAGAAATCGAATTGAACCTATGAGTTTCATTTCGTACTGTAAAACTTTACGGAATTATTCCCATAAAAACAATCGTTAGAATAAAAACCAAACCTGACTTACCACTGACAGAGATCTAGAATGAGCGAAAGTGGAAATGGATGTCACACTGTCCATGCATCAACCCACATCTGAATTTTTTTAAGAATCCAGTTTTTTTTCTGTCAGGGTCGGGACACCTTGAATTGTTTGCAAAAATGTGTTCAACCAATTATGCCATTAAACTTCTCGAGATAGCAATCGGGGCTCAATTCTCGACATTCTTTATACAATAGATTGCATTAATAACGTATAATGGTACAGGGGTACTATATACCCTCTAAACAGGATCTCCTCAAAGAAGAAAGAACATTTTCACATAATAGAATCCAGGATTCCCTCAATGTTGGAGTTCCAATTTTTACCCCTGACATACATGAGCATAATTATACTTGGAACTCAAGTTTAAGTCAGTGACAGAAATCTCGTTAGGTACTTGATTCTAATGGAATTTTGTTTACCAACTCGGCATGTGCAAGCATATTGGCACGCAACCTCCTGACTAGTGTCTCTTACGAATACAGATATTTCTGGCACAAGTTCTTCATATAGTTTTTCAAATGTTCATCGATAATTAGTTAATTAATATACCTGCATACTTGTATAAGAAATATTCGTTAATGTTATGTACCATTAATTGTTTGAATGTTTAACAACTTAAATAAAAATTCAATATAAGTATTAACTAAGGTAATTAGCATGAATTGGAATTCAATAAGATTATGAATTGTAGTTCGGATTTAAAGTGGCTCAGTGTCGTCCTGTTTCATAGTAGCCCCAAATAAAGATTATTCCAATTCAGGATAAAACTATATGATGAGAAAGGAAAGGCTTGTTTGAGAGGTGGGTCATGAAATGGAGGATTCACGATGATTATACTTATAAAAGTCCACACAAGATTTTTTACCAGTTTTTAATTGTTTCCCAGTTTGGAAACAATTTACTCATTCATTACTGAAGAAGACATTTACAATTTAAATTCAATCACAATTTAAACCTATACGGAAATTCTGTACTGATTTCCTTTAATTTGCGAGAACGCATTATTTTGATAATTACATCAAGTGGCACAATCCGTACTACAGTTTGAAAGTTTGTTATTTCAATGTATATCGATGCCCTTATTTGTGTTTTATTATGGATATCAAGGAATTTTAATTTAAACTAATTTGGCAGAAATTTTGCCTCGGGTAAACGTGAAACGTTTGTTACTGAGTTTACATATTATATATGATATAAAAACTCAGTTTAGCCAATGATACAATGCATTTTTGTATTTTAAACTAATCTTCATTAACCAAATCCTCATAAAAAGACTCATCATTCCCAATGAAAACAGCTTATAGGAAATATATTCAAGTTGAACGGTGGCTTTCAATGGCCGGTATTTGTTCAAATGCTGAAGGAATAATACGGTACATAAACATACTAAGCTTTAACTTCCTTATAAACATTCCTTACAACAGCCACATCCTGATATCAACATATATCGTCTCATACTCGACTATTAGCTATGGAACAGAATAGAGTCTGGACTCTGTTAAAAGGATGAAATGGACTCATGCACAATATAATTTAACTTATACCAAGGGATGGGGGGGGGGAGTACAACATCTCGTCTACAATATTTCTTCATGAGTAATTTCGGTAACTGATTTCGAAGTGATTTGAACTGATTTTCAGGTAAATTATAAACAAGAGCATTGTCAGGCAAACGTGAAAGTTAAAAGTGAACACAAGCTGAAACCATATAAAATTTTAGTTGAAATTCCAGACTTTCTGATGGTCTAAATATTCAAAATTTTCTCATGGGAGCATTCCCCTGAACCCTCCCCCCC